ACATACACACACACACACACACACACACACATACACATTCACACACACGTGTATACAGACGCACATGTGCACACGCATATACACGTTCTTTCCTCCCTCACACATCCTCGCTTCCACACACATCTGAGCACATAACCATAATAATATAATAGTAGGCCTATGCTTGCACTCACGAAACAGGCTCACAGTCACATGCATGATTTTTTTAAAAACCAGAACAATCATGTAATATAGGCCTAAACAATGATAATATTAAGCTAGATACGTATTCAATTGTAACTCAATTGTATTCTGATGCATGCTCGAACTTACTCTATGGTCATATGAATACGCATAACAAGATGATTAATTAAGAAGTTTAATGGAGGATGGTAAGAATGACCTTCTGTATCTTTGTTTGGCCTACAGATGAGAAGCCTATAGTGCGGTCAAAAATTCGTGGCGCAACTTATCTTCAAATAATCTCTTAAATGGGTGGATTTCAGTCACTCCTACTTCGCACAGCAGTTTGTATCAATTCGTCTTAACGTAATCATATTTTTTCACAACAATTTAGGCTCGATTAAAAAGCTTTTCTGCATAAATTTATAGAAATAACTATAAATCTCTGCCAAGCGGAAAATAGGATTGTTCACAGCACTTTCTGCTTCTTGCACACATTGTGTATACGTATATGGCCTGCGTCACAACCATAGAGTTACCCCCTACTCGCCAATGACATTTTTTAGTGGCAAAATTAATTACAAGAAATGTATTTTATAGTGACACATTTTTTGCACTAAAGGTTCTCAAAACATGCGTTAAGTAAGCATAGAGTCGCGATTAGAAAACAATGACATGCTTACTTTTAAAAGCGATATTGCCTGAGATGTAAACTTTTTAAAAGCTGTAGAAACCATCGACTTGGATTTTTTATTGGTAGGTCTATCTATTAAGGAATTTTCTAGTTTTCAGTGTGCAGGAGTTTTAAAAAATATTCACCAGTTAAGACAAATTGATATAAGTCACTGTGCAAACGTTGGGGAATCTATGTTCAATAGTTAAAGGAGATATTATTTGACAATAAGTTACGCCACGAATTTTTGACCGCACTAAAGATATAGGTCTTTTACTTTTGACTGATATTTTATTTCAGGAAACACGGGGTGTTTATTGTCCAAAAAAATGGAATTATTTTTTTTTAGTGCAAGCTATGATGTAAAGTTCGTAGTAGTTTGTTTGCTTGAGTAAAGAAAAGCACATGAACACAAAAATGGTCATTTAGTGCTGGGATCTCAAATAGGTAAGACAGACAGGCAGAAACAACAGAGGGAAAGTAAAGAGGAAGTTGAACCTAACAGTGGCGCCCTCCAACCATCTGAAAATAGAAATGAATAATTTGACCACCTGCTATCTACCAACAAAAACATCACGTCGCAGATCATTACCTTTATCATTTTACCTTTAAAAATGGTGAAATAGTATGAGTTTAATACTCATAATGCCTCTATCAACACTAGTACGTTATAATTAAGAGGCAAGACCCTCGAGTCTAACGCCCATATCTGATTGAACTGCGCCAAATGGGAAACGTATGTAAAGTGCCTTTCCCAAGGACACACCGTTGGACGGAGCTGAGGCTCGAACCCCCGAACCCTCAACCTCAACCTTTATTATTTATAATTTCATACCGTTGAGCAAACCACCAGACGTGCCAGTGGTTAGTGCAGTTTAAGTCAACACCTTTCTACTTACTTATTCTCTACTTCCTACAGTGCAGTCTGCTTGAACTGAAATCTTTGGGATTGCCAGATTTTCTTCAGTTTTGCCAGGTTTTCCGTTTTGTTAATAAATAGGTAGCTGAACTAGAAGAAATTATAGTCATCGATTTTACTTTCTTTTTGTTTACTGATATTTTCCTATCTACCGTGTTTGGATTAGAGAGGTGGACTCCGCCAAAGTTATGAGAAATTTCTCGAATCAAAAGAACAAATCTATCGTTTTTTACTGATTATAAAACAACGTCAATGAAAATACTATAACAACAATAACAACAATGACAACAAAGTAATGAGATAACAAAGAGATTGCTTAACTGTATTGGTAACATATTTTTTTATTAACCATTAGAATAATCAGACTTATAAGACACACACACACACACACACAAACACACAAACACACACACACACACACACGCACACACACACACACACTCACACACACACACACACACACACACACACACACAACAATGTTTCATCACCCATAGAAAAAAAAGAAAAGAGTAAAAGAACACTGAATAGCAAATCAACAAAAACGCACTCATAACAATTATATCTCAAAGTATTGTAAAGAAAATAATAATCCCATAAATATAGTACAACTTCATACAGTACATCGCTCAGCCAGAGTTCTTCGAAGTCAAACAGCAACACTCAATGATCTTCAGAAGAACAAGTTACATCAAAAAAGAAAACATTGACTTATAAAGCCCTAAAAAATCAACAAACTGGCATCGTGTGACACATCAAATTGTAATTTGAATGCAATTCACAATTACAAAAGGCATTGTTTATTTGTTGCTTTAAAAAAATTATTATTTTTTCCCAGCAGTACAATCTGGAGACACAAAAACCACACAGCCATCGATGTTCCTATTATTCGAAGCTCTCGCTCTTGTTACTGCTTAGAATTCTCACCAAGCCACAGCCAAAGTGTTGGAAAAAAAGGGCTGGGGTAGAGCTGGGAAAAAGCAACAGTAGTAGTAGTAGTAGAATCTAGGCCTGTTCTCTATGTAGAGCAAAATCAAGAGCATTCTGAACAAACCATACTACAGTCCACTACGGATGAGTTGATGTCGCAAGAGGGGGGGTGGGGTGGGGGGGGGATAGATCGACTCATCTGAAGTCCAACTTAACCATTGGGAACTGTAAAGAAGAAGAGGTGCTGGGACCCGAGAAAAAGATCATCTGTACCGAAGATCAACTCAAGCAAGTTAAACACAAGCAGAGTCGACTCTACAAAGTTTAACACACAAAGGTTTCTAAACATAGTGGACAACATTTCAGACCATTTCAACCAATGAACATAAAATTGGCATTAGAGGTAAATTCTGGCTATTTTGTAATTCGTCCAAAATGTTTCATTTTAAACCTTGGTAGTTTTTGGAAATACATGTGATGGGACTGGAGGCTATTTTACTTTCAACGATCAATATCGGTTACTACAAAGAAAATTACCTCAACAAAATGTGACTCAGAACTCCTCTCTGGTGTAGGAAATAACTCTTCATCTTTATGTTTTTTGTCAGGGACCCCTGTCAACCTAAATCAAACAGCACAATTTTAGGCCTACTTTCATAAATACACTTGTAACAATATCAAAACTCAAGACATACTTCTGTATATTATTTCTTTATTCCTATTATTACTTCTTCAGACATCTTTGCAATACCAGCTCTTGGAGTTTAAAAAGAACAAATCCCAAAATTATTTTACAGAGATATAGAACGTATTATGTATGATGAGGGACCATAAAGCAGGCTAAAATGTGCTTTAAAAAATTATGGCGGAGGGGATGGGCAGGGGAAAGTAAATTATAGTAAAAGTAAAAGAGATAAACAATCATAAAAATGACCCTATACTTCAAGTTCTTTTCAGCATAGTGCAACTATAGACTCTAGCTGATAAGGAATGAGTGCTGTTAATTTTGACTGGAGGTGAGTAAACAACATTTCAATTTCTCCAACTCACCCCACATGTCCCTCTCCCACCTAAATTCTTACAAATACAACAATTCTTAGTTTTAGATTTCGTTTGAGTTTTACTCTAAAAGCACCACACATGGGTCATATAAATGCTGAAGATTAGAGGGGTCACTGGATAGTAACATACAAAGAAAAAAAGTAGGAGAGATAAGGATGGTAGATGTACTGACAGGAAAGAAAGGAGCAAAAACTCATAAGAGAACCCACAAACCATCCATTATATATGCATGTACTACATCAATTTAGAATGAACAGAAAGAGCAAACCATCCATATATGCATGTACTACATCAATTTAGAATGAACAGAAAGAGCAAACCATCCATATATGCATGTACTACATCAATTTAGAATGAACAGAAAGAGCAAACCATCCATATATGCATGTACTACATCAATTTAGAATGAACAGAAAGGGCAAACCACACAGAAAAACCAATGGTCAATATTGATGGGTTCAAGTAAACATTACTGCTCATCAAACATGTGAGCAGAATCTTTGTTTGAGTGAAGAAAAGCACATCGACACAATAATGATTATTCAGTGCTGGAAAAAAGTATGTCGACACAGTAACCGTTGTTTAGTGCTGGAAAAAAGTATGTCGACACAGTAACCGTTGTTTAGTGCTGGAAAAAAATACATAGACACAATAATGATTATTTAGAGCTGGAAAAAAAATATTAAAGAGAGACAGAAATAACAGAGGAAAAGTAAAGATTAATTAGGACTTTCCAGTGGTGCCCTCTAATCACTCATGTACAATTTGGAGAAGCGGACAAGACTGAGACAGGGTAAAATGTCCTCAAGACCTCTGCATTATTGCATTATTCTTTAACACTTTTAAAAGCAAAAGGGGAAAAAATCATATTTTCAATGAAACAAGTGAACATAATGAATGCACGCTAACAATTTGTGCCAGTACAACTCCATAAAAAATAAACACACAAAAATATGAACATCGGTTAATATTTTTAAAAATTAGAAGATGTAGATCTTAGATGATTTGTGTACCAATACCTATATATCTCAATAAAAACAAAGGAATACAAGAACAAAACAAAACAGGATTTTTTAATGAGACAGAATGGGATTATTAGGTGATTAGAAGGAACATTTTGATCTTTGATAATGAATGTCAATGCAATAGAGAAAGTGCTTATTGAATGTCCTATTCATGACAACTACTTGAGCTGAACTAATTTTATAGAGCATGGATTGTGGAGACTGAACATAATGTTTCATTTTTGGTCCATGAATTTGCAGGAATTTTTGTTTAGCATTAGAGAAGAAGTTTTATTTTAAGATAAAATGGCAGTGTTCACATCATATTTATTATATCTCTCTATCTAACTGAAGGCTGAAATCACCTCACAAGAACTTAATAAGCCTGCCTGAAGAATATTAATAAACTATTCCAATATCATGAGAATCACAGAGTGACAACTAGTCGATTCATACATTTCTTGGGTTTTAAAGAATGTTTTGCTAAGTTAAAATTTTATAGCACTTGCAACAAAATTAAGCCATAGAAGTGCTGAAGATTAGAGTTGTTACTAGAGAGAAGCAAACTAAAAAAGAGAAGAACAGATAAGGATGAAAGATGTTCCAATAGGAAAGAAAAAGCAAACCACACCGGAGCACCCATCAACCGCCCACACGCGCACACACACACACACACACACACCCACACACACATACACACAGACATTTTTGTCTCTACCAACATAATATTATGTTCTCATTTTCACTTCGGTGGACAGAGGAAAGCAGGGGAAAGTACCTTGCCTAGAGATACTATATATATACTATCCTACCTCTCAGAGCAAACCAACTTCTGATCTTGGGACAATTAATAATAATTATAACAAAGAGCATTTGTATAGCACTTATATCCATGCTCGACAGCAGGCCTTATGCGCTTTACACTACATTATTACCCCAGCAGACAATAGAACACTCAGAAACACTCTCAGCTTCCCACGAAGCATAAGTGCTAGCAGCTGATTAAGAGCTCAAACACTAACAAACTGACAAGAACTTTCACTGTCTACATCTGGGTACCCATTCCCACCTGGGCGACGTGAGGAACATTTGTGTAAAAAGCAGTTCCCAAGAACACAATGTCGGGCCCCTGATGAGATCCGAACCCACGACCTAACAGTAGCGAGTCCGAGAGTCTAACCACTATGCCACAAACGCCACAATTACTGTAAGGCAAGAGAAACCATACAAAACTCCCATCGACCACTCTCCCACTCACTGTTCGTACAAGAATTTAAGATGTACTCCATTTTTCTATTGTCAAAATTCCCTAATATTCCCACAAATGAGGGAAAAAAAAGAAAAAGAGAAAGAAAATAACAAACTGCAAAACACGTCAACAAAAGAATTTTTATCGCAGTTTGAAGAAGACTTCAGTTATGTAGTTACATTCTGCCTATGGCAAACATCAAAGACAATTACAGGCACTGTGAAGAAAGCCACATACAAACAAAATGAGTAACAGATTTGCTCACAACTAAAAATACTAGCGAACCATTTTCCCATTCACATTCCATTTTCACCATCACCTGTGTTAGCATGTTCCATTTCTTTAGCTATATACAAATAAAAAACTTTGCCCTACAAGCACACAAGTAAGTTACATTGGACAGCATTATCAAAGTTTACAAACATTTATTCCAGTACATCAAGTTCACAAAACACACACACTATTACTCATGGCACCAACACAAATACAAAAGTACATAATTTGAATATCAATATTCAACTTCACTTTCAACCAAATCTGTGAGATACGAGAGCTGTGAATTGTCATCGGGCCAAATGATACCCATATTACAGCCCATACTTTTGACATCAACACTTCTCTTGTGAGCAGCGTTGGTATCATTTACCTTTTCATAAAATAGATATGTTTTTTGTTATTCTGGCATCCTAAGGCAGAGAGGCGTGACTTCAAATTACAATATTTTGAGACAAACATGAATGAAAAACTCTTGATACTCATTACTGAGATCAGTCATTTATGTCACTTTATCACTTTGAAATCTACCAGGGGATGCAGATACCTCGTCGGTTCTTTGAAAAAAAGGAGGAGATGGGCAAGACTAGTGTAGCAAATTAATTTTTTAAAACTTAAAAACTGGGGTTTGTCAGATACGTTGCTCTGCCTTGGGAAGGCAGTATTACGCCTTAGCTGCTGCAGCACTTTATATTTGAGGTGAGCATCTCGCCAGGGAAAGCCGAAGCCTGTGATTAGTCTACAAGGGCTGCATCTAACAATGATACTTCAATGTCAATATCAGACATACAGAAGGCTGCCCTTGCAATGAAAGACTAAAATAGCTGGAGGTGGAACTTCATTAGCACATAGAAGCCAATCCGAATAATTTTCGTGCTTCTTACAAGCTAATCATCACTCTTTTCACATGTATCACAAAGGGGAATAATGGTAGCCTTAGACTGCCTCCTCTTTGATCTATTTTTTACAGTCATAAATCTCAACAATACCTGATATATTGTGAAAGCATTTTACTTCATGTTCAGCTGTATCAATCATTTTAACATTGTGTTTTAATTAAAATAAAGCATCTTTCAGTGCCAGAAAAAAAGACCTGCTCCTCGACTTCTTAAGAAAAAAATTCTAGCATTCACTTGCTTCTTCCTAAATAAACCAACAACTTCCTAATCCTAACTTCTTAGACTTATGACCCCTTGAAAGATTTCTGTTTCAACATCAATAACCTCTCCCCTTTTTCCATAACACTAGGGAGTAATAATTTAGGGAACAACATGATACTGCTGGCAAACCAGACAGAGATACTGCTAACACCTCCGTCTGAAAGAAAATGCATATAAACCAAAATGATTTAAATACGTTTTTTCAGTTTTAATAAATATCCCTCTCACTGGTAACGAGTAAGTTAAACCCCACACTCAACTATAGCCTGACACATAATCCTATCATTACCTTGTCCAATTATTATTAAAAAACCCATCTCAATCCATAATTCCAATATGGTTTGTGGAAATAAACCTTACCACCAGGACAAAATTGCAGACATTTGATAAACTGACTCAGAAGGTTATTTTGATTCAGATTTATATTTCTAAAACCCTCACATTCAACCTATCGCTTCCAAATCTGAGCAATTCCATAAGTAGCTGATCAAGAAATCTGTGACACAGTGCAGCTTACAAAACTGCAATAAGAAGTAGTCTGGGGAGAAGAAAGAAGAATGTTCACCTGACTGTGTGAAGTAGGTGGAGATGGTAACAACAAATAGTTTTCACAACCAGTGATTGGAAGATGGAAAGGACATTAATCACAAAAATTGTAACTTGTGAATAAGTATCTTAATCTTTTCTTAAAAGTTATTCAGAGGTGGGGAAAAAAAAGCAAAAAACATATTACGAGGCAAATACGAGGTTCGGTTGATTTTTCTTTTCTTTTTTTTTTGTGACCCTCTTCAGGCGCCAAATCTCATGTCAACAGAAACAACAGCAGCAAACTCTCAACGTTGCAAGTACAGATCTGTCATGACTGTAGTGCAGCCTTCTCTTTGTAAGCAGTGATATCACTATAATTTGATGACATTGCTTGCTGGTGCACAGACCTTTATTTCTTGCGAAGTAACAAACCCTACACAAATAATAATTATTATAGAATAATTCACTTATTGTGTCCATTAAACAATTCTCAAAGGCTTTTTCAATTCGAGAAAAAAAATCTCATTTTAACAATAAACTTATTGTTGTCTCTCAAGGCTACAAAGAATGCTGTTACCATACAGCATCTGGTACCAATACAGTAACTAATTGATTTGAACAATTTCCCTACTTTACATTGTGTGACTGCACTCACAGCCAACCCAAGGAAAAAACCCATTACATAACACAATTTATAAAATAAACCTTTGAACTTAGAAACTGCAAGGGCTGCAGGAAAGGTAGGCAGAAGAAACAGAACTATGACTATAGCATATGAAATATGAATCGAGCAGCGAGTTGTCCCTCATTTTGGCTGGACAAAATTTTATCTAAGAACTCGATACAATTTCACAACCATAGACTCATTTCTCAGATAGGTCTTGAATTTCATTATAGCCTCCCAGATCACAAATATCCTGTTTTTCGTTTATATGCTTTTGAATGACAATGGCATATAAGCAAGAGAGGCACTCATACAGACCTTTAATAACAACTCCATAAATGTACACAAAACTAGCTTATAACAATGATTTAGGTTCTTGGATACTGAATTTTTCCTGCAGCCCATTCTAGTTAGCTATTTCTTCAAAGGGAGAAAAGAAGGGAGGATAGGGCATTGAAATTTGGTTTTGGTTCCAGCTCTGAAATCTCATTTCTTTCATTCCTTGAGTTCTTTCAACCAATGGTATAACACTTTGTGGAAGTTGTCTGGCTTGTCCAAGTAGCAGGCGTGACCTGCATCGTCCAGGTGGGCAATCTTGTGATTAGGCAGGCCGATGAGGTCATTCAGAGTTATGGCCCCTCTTGTGTCCTTCGCGCCGTACAGGATGAGTGTTGGGAGCTGAGGGAGATGGAGATGGTTGGGGGGGAGGAGGGGGGGCCAGGGGGGGGGGGGGGGGGTGAAGAGGGGAAAAAAAGGATAAGAACAATATGTAATAATGATTTTATTTATATGTGTCACAACGCTGTGGAATCGGGCGTACGTCAATTTTTGGGCATGTGGCGTTATAAGCAGGCCTATCACCTGAAAGCTTATTCATTTGCCTTGCTTACAATGAAAAAAATACCCATCTACCTGGAACGGAAGTCAAGATATTTGTGTTTGAAGGAGGTGAGGTCGCTTGGTTTCAGGGGTGAAATTATCAAGAAAATGGCCCTCAAAGTTTGGTAACTCCAGTAGCTAAAGAGTCCTTGAAAACTGAAAAAGGACATATTTTGAGCCTTTAATCAATATTTTTTCGTAAAATTCATATGGAAAAGGTTTTTTATATGAATACAAAAGGGACAAAATTCGATAAAAATTTCCTAACTTTTGGTAAATGGCCTGTTTCTTCGATTTCTGTATTTTGACGAGCGCTTGATTTCACCACACCGCCTCACATACGGCATATATCCATCCATTACAGCATGTTGTATGTGTTTAACAACCTATAAACACTCAGAAACATTCTTCGCTTTGTTTTACACTTTTGATACCAAATTATAGTAACAATGTTACATTGTAAAAATAAATCAGATGCCTGAAACCAGTGGTTCTCACTGGCACTCTCAACAACTCACAACACTCACAAACGCATTCATTTGCAAAAGTATTAATTTTTACAAAACAAACCTGTCTGTCTTCTCTTGGGTGTCAGTGTTGCCTAAGAGTCATTATTTGATCATAAAATAAATAATGGAAGCCAACAGGTTAGGACTGAGTTATACCAAACTCTGCTTCCAAACCCACTTTTTTAAATCTCTCAAAGACTGAATTTGGATTTTCAACGCAGGTGTCAAAGTGCTCGATTCTTTGGATCAGAAACAAGGATAGTATAACAAATGAACAGCCATGGGAGCAAACAAGTAGAAAGAAAAAAAAAAAAAGGATATAAAAATTTTTAAGAAAATGGAAATGAATTGGCAACACCTTAAGAAAACTGAAAACAAACATTACCAACCAAGCCTAAAGATGGAATTTGCAAGGAAAGAGAAAGACAGGAAAGTCTAAAAGTAATTGCAGATCCAAAAAAAGAAGAGATACAGCTGGACCAAGATGGAGACTATTAGCCCTGGACAAGAGTGAATGGAGAGCTAGCTCCTGCCTGGGTCCTACTATACTGCGTCATGGGGTGAGAAATGCTGAAGAATAACTGGGTTCTTCTTAGGCAGAGACTGCTGTATCATCATTGATCTCACCTGGCTTTCTTTGAACTTGGAGGTGTACAGACTAGTACCCACAGGTGCTATGGGCACAAACCCAGCAGCCCTCTCGGTGCTTTTGGCCGGGTTGATAAACAAGTATGGCAAGGCGTAGTTCCCGCTGGCCGATGGCGCGATGATCACAACATTCTTCATGCCGATGGTGTTGATAAAGGTCGTGACAAAGTCGCCATAGAGGTCTTTGTCAATACTGTCCGGACTCTTGCCTTTGCCTGAATAAAAAGTGGAAGAAAAAAATGGTTTCGCTTTGAAATCTATTTGTCCCTGCTTTGCCATATTTTTGGATGGACTTTTGATGTAACAAGTAAGCCAAGATTTTTGTAACATCAAGTTCTATTTACCATATAAATGTGAGTAATGCACATAACAGATGGGAGCAAAAATTATCAGGCACACATTTCTGACATGTTTGAGATATTTTACTGAATACAAAATATTACAATTGAACAAAAATACACAAGATTAATCAACTAAGTCCTCTTGATGAGCAGAAATATGACAGAAAAATGGTATTAAAACTTTTAGACAATTCATGGTTTCCCTGCCCCCTTCAAGCCCAAGCAAACTCGATTTTTTTTTTATACAGTGCGAAAACCATACAAGTACCATGAAGAATTCTTTCAAATCTACCATTTTCAATCCTTAAAAAGGAGACTCGGATAAGGCTGCCGATAAAAACTGACTCACCTGGCAAGTCTATAGCCACTGCTCGATATCCCCAGTTTGCCAAGTGGTACACGGTTCCGATCTCGATCCAGTTGGCCGAAGAGAAAGAGGCACCGTGTAATAACAAGATATCAAGTGTAGGATCCCCTTTAGCAGGGATAACTTTCTCTTGATGAATCTTGATTTTCTAAAAAAAAATAATTTTAAAACAGACCCAAAAAAATTTTTTTTTAATTGACAAGGTGAGAAAATGTAAAAAGTTTCAAATCTCATTTTAACAAAACTGAATTAATTTAGAACTTAGTCAGAAATTAATTAGGAGCATTTACAACAACAAAAGTGAGGCACCGTAGTTAAATCAGGCACTTGTTATAAACACATTGCTGCGTGGATTTTACTGGAAAACAGCGACCAAAGGCGCAAAAAGTGTAAATTTACAGTTTCCAAGGACATCATGCTCTGGAGGTCACCAAACTTTGACGGCCATTTTCTTGCATATTTTACCTCTGAAACCAGACGACTCCACCATTTTCTATCCCAAATATCTCGTCTTCTATTGAAGATAGATTGGTACGTTTTTCATTGAAAGCATGACAAATGAACAAGCTTTAAGATGATACAAATATGTCCAAAAATTGACGAGCGCCTGATTCTACCACAATGTGATACAAATGGTAATGGAATCATCAGAACTTTACGAAGCCATCTTCAATAGTCTTCGTACCACATTTTATTATTCTAAAGAAGAAAAAAAAACAACACAACAAACAACTCTATTCCTTTGTATTTAGCATGGTCAAGATTGCATTTTCATACATGACAGAAGGTACCTTTCCTCATACTTTAGCCTCCAAATAAACATTTATTCTTGTAAGTACAGGAACTTATACAAGCCATACTGTGTCCCGTCTTGAGACCATCGAGAAAGAAAAAAAAAAAAAAAAGAAGCTATTGTGACTTTTGACCAATGATGCTAATTGCTCATCAACTGTATGTGCATGTGCGTGTGTGCGCGCTTCTGGACGGTGTGTGTGGTGTGTGGTGTGTGTGTGTGTGT